ATATTCAATTATATTATAAATATTTATAATATTTTATAATCATTATAATTACATGTAAAATAAATTAGATATATTATAATTTATATAATACAACATACATATATAATGGAATGGTTCAATGGTTTGTGTAGTTATACATAAGAATCATGAGTTATCCAGGTCACAGGTTTAAGTCATACCATGACTTTATATATTTTTATATTATAGTAATTAAATAATTTATTATTCAGATCCTTATCTAAAAGTACTGGAACAAATGTAAACTGGATAATAAATAATGTGGATAAATCCTAGATAATGTGGAGAACTTTATCTTTTTAAAATTTTATATGCTATTATGTTTATTTATTTATGTTATATTTTATGTGTATTTATTTAGTGAGGTGTCCCTAACCTCACTTATTTGCTTAATCTATGATATTTTTTTTTAATTTGAATAATTAATAAGGTGTTCATAGTTTATGTTGTTTAATTATTTTATAATGATTATTATTGTCATTTACTTGATTGATACTCTTAATATAATCTATTTACATAAATATTATTTTAATGATAAATATTCAAATTTATTTAGCGTAATTATTTTTATGATTAACTATAATATAGTTTGTTTAAAATATCTTTGTTTAAAATATCTTTGACTCGTCTTGTTGTTATTTCTTCATGTATTTATAAAGATAAATATTATTCTATAGTCATAAGAATGAAAGTTTGAATTAATTTATAGTTGGAGGTTTACCTTGAGGATTTAAATGAGTAAAACTTAAGGTGAAATAACTTTTAGTTATTTGTTATTATAATGCTCATTTATCCTAACTAGTTACTACAAGTATAATTCAATTTTTTTATATCAAGAAAAATTAATATATAATTATTAGTATTAAATATTTCTATGCATATTATGTCATTGTTAATATTTATTGGATAATTATTGTTCTTACTCCTTATGTTTCTTGTGTAATATATGTAATTAATTTATAAAAATAAATAAATAAATATAGATGGACGTTCCAACAATTGCAGCTCCTTTCCCTTCAGTAATCTCTGCAGTTTTCTCTAGCACAACATGGAATGTTGACGCTTTAGTCAACTCAGTTACCTTCAATGGGGTAGCAGTGTCTTCATTCACCTTTTCTCCAAACCAAGAAATTCCAATTGTGATAGATGAGCTTATAGTTGTTACTTTTTATTTACCTTCCGCAAACCATGTTAATCCTATTGTAAATTTATTTCAACCACCTATGTAAATTTTATAGTACAAAAGAAACTATGGTATGTAAATATGTACGTATTGTAAATATTTTTAAAATAATATGTAATGTAAATATTAAAATCGTATGTGAGATATAAGAAGTTATAATTAAGTACCAGTCTAATATGTAAATATTGTAATATATATGTAAAAAGTAAGTAGCTACGCATGTAGTGGTAAATATTTTTAGTTTGTTATTATGTATAATATTATTAATCATATACATGTGTTTTCAATCTATAAATATTATATATATATATACACGTATAATATTAGAATTAATAGGTAATACGACTAGGCATTACAATTACAACTCTTTACATATAGTGGAAGTTTTGTATCCAGTGGTGGATTATAAAAAACTAAGTTTAGCTTTTAGTTTTGTAAGTGAACTAATATAAATCTACTGTGTGATCTTATGTATTTGTAACACTCCATTTTTTATAAAATATATTATAAGTATTTTATTAATAATTTTTATATTTTTATATTAATAGAGGTTGTTAAATATTTATTTTAATTATGTAATACATTTTAGAATATATTATATAATATTTTATTAAAGAATAGTATAATATATTATTAAAAAGGAAAGAGATTTTCAAGATATATAACTGTAGTTAGTATGTTTTAACTAGGGAGTTAAGGGGAGGTTACGTTTTTTTTTTTTAAAAAGAGTTTTCTGACTAATCCTTTTTAATTACATCTCTATTTTCATGTACGCGCTTCAGAACTCGGAGAATAGGAGTGAGAAACCTCGCTCTGGGTGTGAGTTTGTATGTCAGGTAGTGGTATTAACTTTCAGTCCTATGTTTGTTGTATGCTCATGTATGAGGGCCTTTTTCCAATTGTATCTATTTTACTTCTTGTTCCCCTTGCATGTTCTGATCAATGTGAATTGTATGTATGTGTTAGTAATTTTTGAAATTGGGTTGTAATGTCTGTTTTGATGTTCTTGTGGGTTCCTATGGGAACCTTAAAGGAATTCATTGGGGGTTTGTACAAAGAGATTATTTGATTACGTAATTGGTTTGGAAAACTTCTACTGATTGAATTGTGTGTTTTAGTGAATTGGTGTCTCATAATTTTTGCGTTTTTCTGATGTGCGTGTTGTTTCTAGTATGTCGTTGGACGCTACTCAAGGTGCACAAGGTGTCTTCGAGGCATAGAAAAAAGTTTGCTCTCAGGATCTCTCATGTTGGGCATGGGATGACCCTCATCGAGTGTCGAAGCTCCAGGGGTTCCTTGTGTCACTTTCATCGAGTGTGAGCTGACTCTCATTGGACATGGATATTCTAGAGAGCACTTGGTGGTGTTCTTAATGGGCATCGACTCAATCACGCCGGGTGCAATTTAGATTGAGACTAGTGAGGTCCTTTGGAGGACTCGCACTAGGCATGAGGCATGTGTCGCTGGGTGTTGTCCTACCTGCGATTCTCATATTGTTCTTCTATTTAACCCAATGATTTTAACCCTTGTAATGTGATGTTGAGTTGGATATGAAGTGATCTCTATGATGAATATGTGAAAGTGTATAATGAGTATGGAATATGAAAATGTGTGAAATGTGAGATCCTGGAATCATGTGAAAATAATGCATAGAGTCTGTTTGTCATGTATCATTGTACTTTTTGTAAGGCTATGATATGGAATAAATCATTAAAGAAGGTCCCTTGTGTAAAAGCTTGAAAACCAACATTGGGAATAACTCGGTTTGGAAGTCTCAATCTTGTCCTCGTGAGCATGGGATGTATCTTGCGTGACTTAATTATCCCGACTAGACCCTTGTAATATGTCATTCTAGTGAGAGTGCGTAGAGGATGTGCTGACTCGGCATGTACTCTTAGACTACTATAGTGTGTTGCTAACAACAATACATAAGTGTAATGTTTTCATTGGTGCCACATGCATGATAACATGTAGCCCATGTCTACTGCATACACATTATAATTATATTTGTTGTTGTTTATTATGTTATGGATGAGCTAAGTATAATGATGATGTGTAACTGTATATGTTGTATAATGTTGTATATGTTTAAATAGTTGGTTTGCATTCCTACACCGTAAGACAAAGTGAGATGTTTCTCACTCCCTTTTCTTTTTTGTTGTCTTTTTGTGATTTTTGCAACTAATCATCAACATGGTATAGAGCGATGTTGATGATGAGGCTTAATCATCATTGTCAGGTTTTGCTCTGATAGGACACGTGACATTGAAAAATTAATTAGAACTAGTTAGGATTTAATTCTTGCTATTTAGTTTGAGTAGATTAATTTTTATTTTCGTTGTAATTTATTATTTTCATTAAGTTTAGTTTATCCTTAAAATGTGATTCTTTCTATCTGTATGAATTTTGAATTTATTTCTTTTATATTGAGGTATTTCAGTTTTATATTATAATATGTGTTATAGCATCCAAGATAAAGGGTGCCACAATATTCCTTAACTCTTATTTTTTCTTAATCTTAACATGTTTGTTAATTTGATCATATTAAAGTTCATTCGTTCATCTATTGACTGAATTCAAATTACTTTGATCAACTCATTTAAGAAAATTTTTCAAGATAAATAACTTTTTCAGAGAAGTGATCTTTGGGAGGCAACACAACTTTTTCTAGAAAATTTTTAAATACTAATTCAATCTCTTCCACTTCTTGGTGAACTATCATTTCAACATAATTACCTTCCTACAATCATTCTCAAATAATGATACTTTAAACTTTGTAAAATGATACTTTAATAATTTTTATCAATACAAAATATTAATTAAAAATATTTATAAATGAAATTTATAAAATATCATAATTTAAAAAATAATATTATTCGCCACAATATTTTATATTTGACATATAATATATTATTTAAAATATATGTAATGTTTTATTATTAAATAACCATTAACAAATATTTACATCATGTAAAATTTATACACATTGATACTACATTAAATAATTTAATGAATAAATAGATTAAAAAAATTATTCTAAATTTGATCACAAAGTTTGAAATTTAACGTGTTTTTCTCCTTTTATTTCTATTTTTATTCTATAATAGTGTTATTTTAGTTATTTTTTGTAAATGTATTCCTAAGAAAAAGGAAACAACCTAATAAAAATTCAAACAATTTTATTTAGCATTTGGTCGTCTCTCTCGTGAAAAAATTTATCTCCTGCACACAGATTTTGCTTTCTTTATCATTCACAAAATCATTCATTCTACAGTTTGATACAAATTTAAGTTGCTCATTTAATCGCTGCAATTCATTCAAAGGTATACGTATACACACACACATATATATATATATAAAATATGTATTTTGGTAATGAATATTGATAATCATCAACAATTGTGTTTATAAGTGTAATGGATTTTTCTCTCTCATTGTATTGGGCTTGTGATCAAAATCATCACTTTGATTTGTATATTCTGTAAGACTCAACATTTATGAATTGGATGAATACATGGATTTATCAAAATTCAAGCTAATCACATTTTGATTGTGCCTATTTATTATTTATGATCAATATTTATACTCATTTTATTTAGCTTGTTACAAATGATTTTCAGTTGTTGCTTTAATGATAAAATTTAATGATTGATCGTCACACATGTAATAATGTCATTTTATTTGAATCTTTTCATATATGGAATTATTGGTGTATGATTTTACTTTTATCGGTTGTTTTCTCTTATTTTTCTTTTACTAATTTATTTTATACAGTTCGGATCGATTTCATTTTCTAATTGGTGTATCATGTATGTGTTACTTAAATGAATATTTTGTTTAGACTTTGAGGAATAAATATGTGTAAAGTTACTTAGTGAATTCGAAATTTCAATGCTACCGAGGTCTTTTTGCAGATTCAAAAATTGAGTATTGTTGTAAAATTCAACATTAGGTTTAAGTTTCTAGAGATTGTACATGACAAACGAAGCACGATACTGGGGTGAAAGTTCCAATTTGGCTTCTCTAAACAATCAAGAGGATACTCAGGATGATCATATGATTGCCCTTGTGCTTTCACAAGAGTATGCTAAATTGGATTGTGCAGTTGGTAGACGACTTTCCAACTTGGCGTCTATTCGTGTAAGAATTCTTGTTTTTTTTTCTTCTTCTGTTATTTCCTAAATAATATGATTAAAAAAAAGGTCTTTGATTTATTGGCAAATTATTATCATATTAGGTTTATACTTATATTTTGTATCATGTTTGATTTTCAAGTTTTTTAAATCATTCATTTTAAGAACATTACAACCAATTGTTTATATATGGTATCAACACTTTTACTTAAATATAATGGAAAATGATTGGTAGATTTAACATTTTAAGTTGATTATGTTTATAGTATATTCATATTATTCTACATTTTGTTTCATCCATGATTACACATTCTTAATTTACATATCACATCAAAAGTAAACAATATTATATGTGTGTGCTTCCTTTTTGCCAGATATAGTTGGAAGATGGGATTTTTAAATATTTATGCTTTTCTAAATTTCATATTTATACTTTTTCAAATTTCAGCATGTGCCACGCATAAACTCTTTTATCCCTAACACTAGTGATGCTAGCATGGATCATCATCGTCTTCTTCAGAGGTATGTCTTTTAGTTATATGGAAATCGTCTATTTGGTACTAGTAGTATTATAAAAGTATTTTAAGTTTTAATTTATATCCTTTTGGTAATAATGAATGTGTATTAAAATAATTAGACCGAGATATTAAATATGCATTGATGTACAAGTCAAAATGTTACTAGTGCGATAAGTATATTGTATATTTTTTTATGTAATTAAAAAAGTAGTAACAAGGCATACTAATTAGGTGTTCAAGAAAAAATTCCATAGGTAAGGCTCTTCCTTCAATATAATTGATGGGATTTTATAGCATAATTATAGGTAAGTAATAGAATATTTTGGTATCTATGTGTTTGTGGCTGGCAAAAGAAATTATAAGAGCAAGATATGACATTTTTTCAAACTTAATAAGAGAAATGGTAAAAGAAAATTTGTATGGTTGAATTCATTTTATTTTATTTTATCTTTTTGTATGTAGAATGCAAATTCTATAGCGTAAAAAAATTGAAATTTAAAGTTGTTAAAATTCTAAAAATTCAGTTGTTATTTTTTTTTTCCTTTTTAGTTTGTTCAACATTTTAATTTCTTTTAAACATATAGACTTGAAAAATATTGAGATCAACTCAACTACAAAATTATTGTATGCTTTTCCATCCTATGTATTTACCGTTGAAGGTATTAAATCATTCTCTCTTATTTAAAGGTTGAACACTTATGGACTTTGTGAAGTTAAAATCTCTGGAGATGGAAATTGTCAGGTACGTACTCTATATCCATAACATTTAAATGGTATTCCTTTTGAACTTTTATTAATAATTCTCCCTATATTGTAGTTTCGTGCACTTTCAGATCAACTTTTCAAGTCACCTGAACATCACAAAAATGTTAGAAAAGAGATTGTAAAACAGGTATGTATGTTGTTGTTGATCACATGGAAAATTTCAAACTTTTTGAAAATTGTCTAATAATGAGGCCATCTGGTTTTCTTGGATTGTGATTAATTTAATATGTTTGCAAATTAAACAATTGGTAAAATATAAATGGATAGATGAGTGTATTGTCAAATCAAGATGACAAAAAAGGATTTCATTAAAATCATAAAAATATCTTCAAAATATAAAATGAATAAGAGTATGGTATGTGATGTTGATAAATTATACATTATACTTAACAAAACTTGTGCATGTTTATATCAATATGAAATCTATTACTGAAATGAATCATAGAAATTGATTATTTAGAATTCTAATTTAAATAATATTTATCTTTATCAGCTCAAAGATCATCAGTCCTTATATGAATGTTATGTACCAATGAAGTATAAACAATATTGCAAAAAAATGGCAAAGTAAGTCTCTTTTATACAATCTATTTGCTTATATATGAAATCAGTGACATTTTTTTAGTTCTCTTATTGTCATTTTGATCCATCTTACCTTTTTTTTCATTTATCTACCATATGACAGATCTGGAGAATGGGGGGACCATGTTACTTTGCAAGCAGCTAGTGATAAGGTATGATATATTCAAATATAGTTTGTTCTTTTTGTTAGATGTTGATTATTATTTTTATTCCTATTTTTTCTTCTTATTTTATCTAAGATGAAATGTTTGATTTGATCTTTGAAGAATGAGAATAATAATGCAAAAAGAAACTTTTGTTGATGAAGTTTTGTATAAATGTTTGATATACTCTCTACTCCTCATATCAGTAATTAATATAAATAAACAAATTAGCCAAAGATGTGGAATTTTGAAAATTATTCTCATACATAATGATAAAGGAAAACAATAAAAATAAAGTTTTGACACTCTAAATGTCATACAAACATTTTTTAAAAACAAATGATTGAAATGTGAAATAACATGAATAACTCAAAACAAATACAACCCAAGCCATTGATATTACATCCTACCAGAGAGTAAAGTAACCAAAACTTCAAAGCTAACTAGGGCCTAAGCCACTCATCTATCATTATCCTCAAAATGATCCTCGTCTAAGGGGAACTAAATTCAAATTCAATAAAGTAAAATAAGAAGAAAAAAAGTGAGTTACGTTTCAGTCAAACTCCCAATGTGCAATAAAGGTCGAGCAACACATACAACAAAATATGTAGTCAATAACATATACAATTATAAGGATTCAAATAACAACAATATAAATCGCATTATGCAATGTTTTCCTCTATACTCTAATGCACTCTTGTGAGGCAAGTTCAAAATCTCAATAGCTCATAAGGAAGCCTAAGAGAACATGACCTGTAACCCTCAACATGAGAGTTCAACACGACTACTCTATACTTGGATAATATACACCAAAAACTTGTCAAGGATTCAAAATTTTACAATGGTACTCCAACTACATGGGATCCACATGAACCACACAAAGATTTGAAATAAAGATCAACCTCAAGATTTAGATCCTATGATCATTAAAGGGTCACTTTAGAATAATATTCATGTTTTCTTGGATTGTGATTAATTTAATATGTTTGCAAATTAAACAATTGGTAAAATATAAATGGATAGATGAGTGTATTGTCAAATCAAGATGACAAAAAAGGATTTCATTAAAATCATAAAAATATCTTCAAAATATAAAATGAATAAGAGTATGGTATGTGATGTTGATAAATTATACATTATACTTAACAAAACTTGTGCATGTTTATATCAATATGAAATCTATTACTGAAATGAATCATAGAAATTGATTATTTAGAATTCTAATTTAAATAATATTTATCTTTATCAGCTCAAAGATCATCAGTCCTTATATGAATGTTATGTACCAATGAAGTATAAACAATATTGCAAAAAAATGGCAAAGTAAGTCTCTTTTATACAATCTATTTGCTTATATATGAAATCAGTGACATTTTTTTAGTTCTCTTATTGTCATTTTGATCCATCTTACCTTTTTTTTCATTTATCTACCATATGACAGATCTGGAGAATGGGGGGACCATGTTACTTTGCAAGCAGCTAGTGATAAGGTATGATATATTCAAATATAGTTTGTTCTTTTTGTTAGATGTTGATTATTATTTTTATTCCTATTTTTTCTTCTTATTTTATCTAAGATGAAATGTTTGATTTGATCTTTGAAGAATGAGAATAATAATGCAAAAAGAAACTTTTGTTGATGAAGTTTTGTATAAATGTTTGATATACTCTCTACTCCTCATATCAGTAATTAATATAAATAAACAAATTAGCCAAAGATGTGGAATTTTGAAAATTATTCTCATACATAATGATAAAGGAAAACAATAAAAATAAAGTTTTGACACTCTAAATGTCATACAAACATTTTTTAAAAACAAATGATTGAAATGTGAAATAACATGAATAACTCAAAACAAATACAACCCAAGCCATTGATATTACATCCTACCAGAGAGTAAAGTAACCAAAACTTCAAAGCTAACTAGGGCCTAAGCCACTCATCTATCATTATCCTCAAAATGATCCTCGTCTAAGGGGAACTAAATTCAAATTCAATAAAGTAAAATAAGAAGAAAAAAAGTGAGTTACGTTTCAGTCAAACTCCCAATGTGCAATAAAGGTCGAGCAACACATACAACAAAATATGTAGTCAATAACATATACAATTATAAGGATTCAAATAACAACAATATAAATCGCATTATGCAATGTTTTCCTCTATACTCTAATGCACTCTTGTGAGGCAAGTTCAAAATCTCAATAGCTCATAAGGAAGCCTAAGAGAACATGACCTGTAACCCTCAACATGAGAGTTCAACACGACTACTCTATACTTGGATAATATACACCAAAAACTTGTCAAGGATTCAAAATTTTACAATGGTACTCCAACTACATGGGATCCACATGAACCACACAAAGATTTGAAATAAAGATCAACCTCAAGATTTAGATCCTATGATCATTAAAGGGTCACTTTAGAATAATATTCATAACATGTTCTCCAAAAATTCTCAACATCAAATGCTCTACTATTCATTTTGTATACAATAATGCTTCAATATTCTCAATCAATCTCAATTCACACAAGTGATCTTAATATGCTCATGACACCTTAAGTTTCTCATGTTTGATCCTATTCCTCTAGTACAAGTCATCTTAAAGCTCAACATCTCATGATAGATCTCATTCCTCTAGAATGATTTCTCTCAAGGTGCACCTCAAGTGCCTCAAGCTCAAGATTTTCATATACATTTTTCATCTCATTATCCATTAAAAATGTTTACAATTATACTAGTTTATCAAAATACTAAGGATGATCAAACAAAGTACTAACACTTAACACCTAAGATTCCATGCTTAACGCTTAACTTAGAGAGCTTGTAAAACTTTATGGCTCTCATGCTTAGTGTGAAACACTATAGGATCATGATTCTTATTGAGACTCATTCTTTCGTAATATCTAAATTTGTAAATTTCTTACATTAAATGGTGCTTAGCATGACTTAGCAGGCTTAGCATGGACCCACCCATTCTTAGTGCCAAAATCATTATTGTTTTATGCATCTTTTGCACTTAGCATGGACTCATCCAAGCTTAGTGCTAGAGAAGCAAAGATCAACTATTTTCCTCTATGGTAGAGTTAGTCCTACTAGTTAATCCTTTATTTGTATCATTTTTTTTGGGTTGTGTGTGTCCAAAGGCATGTCAATTATTATGTTACTTATTATATAGCATAATAATAATGTCCTTAGAATAATTGGTTGGTTCATTCAAAGACATCAAGTATGACTTGATTGTGAAATTTTAATGAACAAAAAGATAGTTTTCTTGAAATAATTGTAGTCAAGTATTATTGTTGACTAAGACAAAAATAATAAATTAAAACTATATATTGTCTAAATTAACTAAAGGCTACATCTCGCAAGTTAAGGATATAAGATATCAATAAGTAAAAATATTAGGAGCAATTTTTATACCGGATACACATACTATGAGAATGCTTTATAATAATTATGTTAGTTCGTAAGTGTTTCTCAAGACAACCATAATAAAGTAAGCATTCAACTTGAATTCATTGTGATTATATGTAAGAGTTGAAGACTTGAATGCTATAAAATGTTATCTATAATAAGAAGTTTTAAAAGTAGTCATTAAACACCCAATGAATCATGATGAGGGGTGTGAGTGATAATGACAAGATTTGTCCATCTTGCATAACAAGAGTTATATCTTTGATAAAGTCAAATGTGAAACACGTGTGGTCACTTGGGAACAAGTCAATATGTGATAATGGATCTATTTGTGTTTGAATGTGTACTTGGATGTCAAGAAATAAATTATTGAGCTTACTAACAGGGACTATTATGTCTAATGTTCAATCAAGGTATATGGATAAAAAGAAAATTACTTTATGGTAATTTTGGTTACAGAAGTTAAAGTCATATCATCAATTTTCTCATTGATTGGGTGATGATTAATTACTTGATGTGGATCATTGTTTATAATATTTAATTTTATATTAAATATAATATTTAATATTATTATCATTTGAATGAGAACTTTTAGAGTCACACATGTAGAGTAAATACTTAGAGTAAATGATTAAATTAAATATGATTTAATTAATTAACAAAAATTGAATTCAGTTATATTAATTTAAATAGATAGGTATTTCCACTTGTAGCATACAAACCCAATAATGAGGTAAGATGAGGTCTCAACCGTATATAACTATGTTGGCATAATTCTTATTACATCATTGAAAGTTGCTAAGTTTTGAGCTGACATGCAAAACCTAACACGTGTCATCTCTTAACTAATACCAAAATACACTATGATGTTGCTCACATGGACTAAATAAAATTGACATTTTTTTTGCTTGTTAAAGGTTGTTTCTTACTTCAACTCCTACAAAGTGTAAAGCACCCTCCTATAGTAAATTTAAATTGTTAGTGATTTTTCCATCATGCATGGTCCAAAGGATGAGGTTTTTTTGCTCAAATATTTTAAATTAAAACTATTTTTGAAAATTATACCCCTTGAACCCCCTCCCCCCCCCCCCCAAAAAAAAAAAAAACCATGATTAGCACACAATCACAAAAAACCCATAATTAAGATTTTCAAAATCCCTCACAAACTCACTTTATTAAGTTTTGGTTATTCTTAGTGTCAACAAAAAATCATGATATCATATTCTTAATTCAAATATTGACAAGACATTAAGTCACATAATCAATCCATTTTTCTCATAAATATCACAATTCATACACAACTCAATCACAATTTCAAATCCAAGGAACTGTAAAATATATCATAAACTCGTGACAATAATTTCAATTTAAAATTAAGTATTCAATTTCAAATTCAAGGAACCGTAAAATATCATAAACTCATCAATATCACAAGCATAGAATATAGAGCACACAACAACTTCAAGGTATTCAAAACCCATCTAAAATACATGACAATAAACAAAACAAAAACATATCATGTTTAGGGTCAACTTAGATACCCAGAATTTGATTCACACTTTAAACAAGATAATTCAATTTCCCCTTAATAGTAAGAATGTTTTGATCCTTCAATCATGTTTAATGAGTTATCCTAACCATATTTTTAGATACTCATTTATGTACAATCATATATATATATATATA